CTGGCAGCAGCAGGGGGTGGGACTCATTTTTTATAAACGTTTGAGAAGCTAAATGTGAGCCTAGGGTTTCCCCAGGCCCGGCAGGGCGGCAAAGGGAGGTAGGGAAGAGGCAGGATGATGATAATTACAAACGTCTTCATAATAATGACACTTGGTCACCTCAGTTGAGCACTCTATTCTTTTCCAAAGTGCTTCATCTCTTTCTCTCATTAAGGGGTCTCCCACATCCAGGGAGGCAGAAGTGATAAAGTGTTATCTCCATTTTACAGAAGGGGAACTGAGGCCCGATCAGATCAAGTAGTTTTTCCACAGCCACACAAAGCTGAGGACAGGGCCCGCATGAGAATTTATGTCTGCAATCCCTGAGCTCCACTCCACAAAGGACCACCCCCTCCTAGAGCCGGCGGGGGCTCTTCCTGGGGGGTCTGGAGCCCGAGCCTGCAGCCTCAATCGCATCTTACAGACAGCAAGGGTTAAGGGATAAGAAAGGAAAGAATTCTGACCTGGGAACCAGGACACGAGCTCCAAGTCTGGCTCCATGACAAACCATGTCAGAGCCACCAGATAAACCAGAGATGAGGAGTGGGAAAACCTCCTCCCTCCTGATGCTGGAGCCCAGGGCTCTCCTAGTCGGGGCCGAGAACACGGCCCCAGGTGCCTCCTGCTATACAGAGAGAAGGGGAAGGAATGAACTCCTGGTGAGCACCTGCTGCACACCTGACTCCACCAGCCACCGAAATCCATCATCTCTCATCCTCTAGCATCTCAGAGACTCAGAGTGGGCTCCTCTAATATTGCAGGTGAGGAAACAGTGCAGATGGGGGAAAGATTTGACTGAGGGAGGGCACAGAGTGAGGAAGTCACGGGATTTGAACCCAGGACTCTGTGACACCAAAGCCCACCCAGTCTCCACAGAGATGTGAGGGGCGTCCCCTCTCGGGAGTGTCTGACTTCTCATTATGGCTTTGGTGGGAGGAGCTCTGATGACCAGGTGGCCTGTGTCACCCTGGCTGCTTCCTTCTGGGTGTGAGTCTCAGTACGGGCTCAGTCAGTCAGGGAGGGCAGCATGCTGGCCAGACAGACCTGAGTTCGACTCTTTCCCAACTACTAACTAAGGATGTGGCCTTGGGAAAGCCATTGAACCCCTCTGTGACTCAGTTTCCTCATCAGTTCCATCAGGGGCTGGGTCTAGGGCATCTCTTAAACCGGGAGGCACTTTAGAATCACTCTGGGGCTTGTAAAACTACCTTTTTCCGGGCTGCACCCCCAAGAGTCCTGTTTAATTGGCCGGGGACGGGCTCAGCATCTGTTTTATTCTAAAGCTCTCAAGAGATTCTATTGTGCTGCCAAGTCGAGAACCACTAGTTTCTGTGCTCTCCAAGGGCCAGCCTTTCCGCATCTAACATTCCACATGGTTCCCTGGGCCCTGAGATGCTGTTTGCCTAAGAGTCAGTTGGGCAACCCTTCCTGTTCCAGCCTGGAGCGGAAGGGCTGGGGGGCAGCACCATGGACAGCGAAGTGCGCATCCCAGCCCGCCCAGCCCTCCTTCTGGCAGTTAGGGGAGGAGAATCTGAACTCAGCCTCTCACCCCTCCCCTCCTCTTCTCCTCTCCCTCTCGCTATCTCTGTCTTCCTTCTCACTCGCCTCTCCACTTCTACTCCAGTCAACCCCTCTTCCTACCTTTAAGGCAGGATACATGTGGGTTTTGACATCAGATCCACCCAGGTTTGAATCCTGCTTCTACTTCCTTGCCTGATGAACCTGGCCAGGCACTGTCCTCGGCGCTGAACGTGGAAATCTATTTGAGTTCTCACGACGATCTGAGAGTTTGGTAGTGCTGTTACGCGCATTTCACAAATGAGGACAGTGGAGGTTAACACTTAACTTCACTCAGCCTCCATTTACTCATCTGTAAAGTGGAAATCTTAACAGAGCCCATCTCAAGGCTTTATTTTGTAAATTCCATGTGATAATATACATCGGGGCTTACATCATAGTATCTAACACAGAGCAGTTACTCAATAAATGGAATTTATCGTTATCATTGTTATTGAATAAGGATATATAATTAATAATGGGTCGCAATATTAATTCCTGTTTGCACCCTTCACTGTGCATAGTGGTCTCCTTGGCTGTAGCGTGGGAACAAAGCAGGGGTGTGCTGGAGTCGGCTGGACCAGCTCACGGGAGCCCCATATTGGTTTTCAAGAGTTTTGTGGGCCAGTTGATATCACATCGGTAGCTTGAAATTGGGTCGTGACTGGAGTATTTACACCATGGAAATCAGCAAACACCATAAAGCAGGGCATTCTCGCCACCCCGCCACCCCCTGGGAGCCAATGATCAGACATTCGCCAGCACACCCCTGCATCTGTGTCACAGAGTTGGTGTGAGGTCTAACGGTGGACACGACGAGCACTGTAAAACGTAAATTGCCACGCGTATGGGGGATGACCCCGAGGTGGTCCACAGCAGCCACGAGCCTGGCTCCCTTTTGTCTGCAGTTCCGGGGAGCTGCTGACTTGTGAAGGAGGCGGGAGAGGTTGTGTGGCCTGAAGAAGCTGTTCCCATGGGGCCTGGGGAGCCAGTGGTGAATCACTGACCCTTCACCATCCCCACGTGTCGGCATTAACTGTAATGGCTGCAATAAAGAATCCCGGATTGGGGAAATGATTCCATCATCCCCTCGGGAGTTCCTGGGATGCAGCCAGGGAGAGAGAGAGAGCTCAGCTGTGTCTCTGGGGAGTCGCTCAGCCCGGCATTGTGCCTTGCTCGGGGGGTGGGGGGATCCTGCAGAGGGGAGTCACAGGGAGACCCTCTCGCATAACAGTTACAACGGCTGCTATTTATTGCACAGCCACCATGTGCCTGATGCTTTATGTATCCTCTGCCATTTCAATACCTCTGTGAGGGGGAGGCGTAATCGTGCCATCGTATACTGGCATGCCATGCCTCCCGAGACAACGATCACCACTGGGTTCTTGGCATGGGCCAGGCACTGTCCCCAGTGCTGAAAATGGAAATAGTGTGTATTTGAATTCTCGAAATGATCTCAGGAGATTGGTAATACTGTCATCCTCGTTTCACAAATGAGGTGATTGAGGCACAAAGGGATTCCTGACATGTCTGTGGTTAAACTTCTACTAAGCAGCAGCACCATCGCTGACTGTGACTCAGTACCCCAGGTCACCAGCCCCAGAGTCAATGTGCTTGTGCTGACATTGGTTCCCAAAAGGATTGTGGCATCACAGAGTCCTGGGTTCAAATCCCACCACCACTTCCTCACTCTGTGCCCTCAGTCAAATCTTTTCCTCCATCATCTGACCTGTTTCCTCACCTGTAACATTAGAGGGTCCCACTCCGAGTCTCAGAGATGCTATGAGGATTCGAGGTGACGGGTTTAAGTGGCTGAGCCGAGTGTGCAGTGGGTGCTCGCCAGGAGTTCATTCCTTTCCTTCTTTCTGTGTAGTCAGGAGGCACCCGGGGCCATGTTCTTGGCCCTGACTAGGAGACCCCTGGGCTCCAGCGGGAGGAGGGAGGAGGCTTGCCCACCCCCCTTCCCCAGCTTCCCCGGGCAACTCCGATGTGGTTGACGTGGAGCTGGAGCCGCCAAAGAGAGAGGCGCATTGCAGGGCCAGTTTAGGAGGCTCTGACGGGGAGGGGGAACGGGAGAGGGAAATGAGAAATGCAAAAGAGTGAAAAATAAATACATGTGTCTATCTGGAATGATCGAGGGCCCCAGGCTGGAGGTGGGAGAGGCAGGCGGTGGGCCGGGCTTAGCAGAATTGCTGCAATAGCACTTCCAGGGTCTTACTCATTAGCCAGGCAGTGAACTAGCCTCACCTCCCAGCATGCCACCCTGCCGGCCCAGAGAGCCCACCCCAGCCCCAGGAGGGCCCTGCCCCGCCCCGCCAGCAGGGCACCCAGCAGAGGGCCTCTGCCTGCAGTGGGGCCTCAGTCTCCTCCCCTCTGGGTCATATCCTGAGCCCCCAAGACTCCCTCTTGGGTCTTCCACCTCATTCCCTTCCTTCTGGAAAGGTTTGGATGGACTAGACGGCTTTGCTGCTGCCCCATCTGACCCTCCCCTTCCCTTACCCTCACCCCCAACTGGTCCAGTCTCACGTCCCAAGCCTGCTTTCGTCAAATTGAACATGATGTCAAATTAGAGCCATCTCTGGGACAGGCCGAAAGAAGCTCCCAGTTTAATGAGGCAGCGTCGAAAATCAATAACTTAATTGCCGCTCTTTGATGGACTTTTATCCAATTTATACTCTCCCCAGCAGCCTACGTGCAGAGCATGAGGAGAAGTGCGTGTGTCGGGGGGTGGGCTGTCTGGGCACCCAGGGGAGGGGTGAGGAGGGCACCAGGGCTCACAGCCAGCTACTTGCCAAAGGGAAAGCTGGTGCTGCCACTCTCCTGCCCACAAGCCAAGAGACACTGGCCTCTGAGCCCCAGTGAACTTAGTTGTCCCTCTGGGCTGTCCCCTACTGCCGTGGTGGGAGAGAGGACACAGAAGTCCCTTGAAGAATCGGGAGGGGCTGGAGTGGGTAGAAAGACTCCCCTGGGCTGGGAGTCAGGTCCTGGTTTCCAGTCCTGGCTCTGGCTCTGACTGTGATGACCTTAACTGGTGACAACGATTGTTGCCACCATCCTTGAGAGGCTGCTCTGTGCTTGGAGTTTAGAATTTATTCCCTCAACCTGGTGAACCAAGGACTAGGATTATCCCCATTTTGCTGAAAAGGGAACTGAGATTCAGAGAGGCTGTCTTTCCTCGCCAGAGTCCCACAGCCTGGAGCCACCCACGGGCGATCTGAACCTGGGTCAGACTCCACAGCGGTGCTTGAGCCAGTAGGAAGGCCCTGGGTCAAGAAGCGGGTTGGGACCCAGAGTGAGGATGGGGACTGTCTCCAGCGTGTCCTCTTCCAGGTTCCTGGGGTGGGGAGAGGTGAGGGGACAGCAGCCCCAGATGACGCCTATCTCGCTTGGTCCCCCGGGCCCAGGCACGTCGGTGATGCAGGTGATGGCCTCGGATGCGGATGACCCCACGTACGGCAGCAGCGCCCGGCTGGTGTACAGCCTGCTGGACGGCGAGCACCACTTCACCGTGGACCCCAAGACCGGTGAGGGGCGGGGCTGGGCCAAAGGGAGCCACGGGGGGCGGGATGAGGGTGGGGGCGGGGCCGAGGTGGCCAAGGACAGCCCCAGACGTCTGGCTGGCCTTCTGACCTGTCGACAGTTCTGAGGGTAGCACAGAGGACAGGAGGCATCGGGGGCTACAGGAGACTCCAGGGTCACAAAGAGGAGAGGGTTAGGGTTAGCCAGGCAGGAAGTAGAAAGCGCCAAGGGACAGAAAAGGAATGGGGAGAGGGCGTCCTGCAAAACCGTCAGAGAAACAAAAAGGCAAGGGACTGTAGACGTCCTGGAAGGACCTCAAAGGTCTAAACCAAGTTGGCTCCGCTTGTCCTTGGAGCTAAATTGCAGTGAGTTTGTCCGCAGCCCCTCCGGGGTCTAGTGTAGGTCGGGGGAAGAGGGTGGCTGGTGAAGTGCTCCATGCTGCAGTTCTGGGAGCTCTGTGCACATGGCAGTTCTTATGGGTCTGACGGAAAGACAGGGACACTTAGGGACCATTATGGAAGGGCGGCTTCTTTTTTGCTTATCCTTCCCCCCTCCAACACCACCACCAAGCAATGGTGCAGCCCCTCCTCCATGGTCCCCCACTTCACTCACTGTGAGGTTAGGACTTGACTAGTCTCTGAGGATCCTTGGGGGAGGAGGGCTGGGAGGACAGAATGAGGAGACCGAGGCCCAGAGAGGTAAAGTCACTCACTCGAGGTCACACAGCTAGGGTGGCTGCTGATTCCAACAGGGGCATTATCTCCGCTCCTGGGATAGGAGGGGCAGCGCAGGGGTGGAAGTGGGAGATGAGATGTCAGATGCCACAGAACATTTATCCAATGCCCTCATGGGGCTCAAAGCCCTGTGGGGCAGGGTGACAGGTATATGCGTGGGCAGTTAGGACGCAAGGCTTTTTGGAAGCAGCAGCAGCAATCTCCAAAGGGGAAGAAGCCGTCGGCCAGACTGAGGCTGCAGAGAAGGGCATTCCAGGCAGAGGGCATGGCTCAGGCAAAAGCTGGGGGAAAGAGAATGATTGAGGCATGAGGGGAATCGTGAGCAACTCAGGCCTGGGCGATCAGGTGTGCTGGGATGCCTGATGTGGGGAGGCTGGCCAGGGCCCGACTGTTGCTGGTGTCCGCCAGGCTAGGAGCTTGGATTTTATTCTAAGGGCCAGGGGCCAGGGGAGGGGTGGGGGGCAAGGAGGGGGGAAGTTGATGGATTTGGGTTTTGGATTTTTTTGTGTGTGCTTCTGTTTCGTTTAGGGAGGAAGGGAAACGATTCCATTCTCCAAGCAATGTTATAATTGTATTCTCTTACACATAATATCTTCATTATTTTTTCTCCTTACAAAAATAATACATTTTAGAAAATATTCAAACATTAAAGAAATGTTAAGAAGAAAAAAGAAAAGTGCTTCCCACTCCCTATCCCCAGTAATTACAGCCCCAAAGGTAGCCACTTGGCATATATATCCTAGGAGATCTTTGTCTCATTCACTTGAAAATATTGTCATTTTTTTAATAGATACACATTTCGAGGTTTAAAATTCAAAAAGTCCAAACAGGCATTTAGTGGCAATTCCTCACCCCATCCAGTCCCCCAGCCACCCAGTCCATGTCCCCAAGGCAACCAATACAATTTCTTTGCGTATCTTTCCAGAGCTATTCTATACATGTACAAGAAAATAAGGTACATGTATTATATTTGTTTTATTTTGTTTACACTAATGGTAGCTATAAACACATTATACACAGGGCTTGCCTTTTCTGCTTAACAATACATCTTGAAGATTATTCCATATCGGTACATAAAGAGCTTCCTCATTCTTTTATTTAACGGGTGTTATGGATACACTAAAATTTATTTAGCCAGTCCCCTCCTGATGGACACTTACGCTGTTTCCAATCTTTTTGCTACAACGAGCAATGCTACAGTGAATAACCTCACACATACATCATCTTGTGCTCGTGTGAGTATATCTGCAGGATAATTTTCGGGAAGTGCAAAAGCTGGGTCAAAGAGCACATGCATTTGGAATCTCGATAGATAATGCCGAAAGGTAGCAGATGACACTCCGCGTGCCACGTGTGAGAGTGCCTGTTTCTCCTCCCTCCGCCAACATTGAGGGTTCATTGATGACTTCTAAGCAAGGAAGTGACAAGCTTGGGTTTTCATTTTAACAAGGCCCCTCTGGCTGCTGCCGTAGAGCCTGGCTCAGAGGCAGGAATTGGAGACAGGAAGGCCCCAGAGCCCGGGTGCCCAGTGTAGAGCCCTGAAGGACAGAAACCAAAGGCTGCACCCTTTCCTGACACCTACTCAGACCCTTTAACCTGCCTGTTGAGTTAGGAGGCCAGAGATGATGACGGGTTGGTAGTGAGGGTTAGTTGAGGTGCTGCGGAGAGACGAGGGGGTGGCAGAGGTGGCGGTGAGACCCTGCAAAGGGTAAGCCTTGGGGGCCTAGATGAATCCCCGAGACCAGGTCGAGGGAGGAATCAGGAGTTTCTCTGAAGCCAGTTTGGTGACTTCGTCTAGGCAGGGACACCACCAACAGAAACAGGAGGAATGTGAATTAAGAAAACCCCAAAGTTTTGGGGCAGTTTGTTCCATAGCTGCAGAAAACTGATAGAGAAGTCTAGTTGTCTGGGCTGTTCCCCTGCTGGTTCTGTCTGGGCCACTCACACAGCTGCGTCTCACTGGAGGAGCAGCTGGTGGAAGGTCCGAGATGGCTCGTTCATACGCCTGGCCGTTGGTCCTGGCTTGGCTGGGACAGGTTGGTTCTCTCATCCTCCAGTAGACTGGCGTCCTCACATGGCAATCTCAGGACTGTGTTCCAGGAGAGCAAAAGTGAAAGCTGAAAGGTCCCTTAAGGCCTAATCTGTTAATTTGCATAACATCCATTCTGCTGCATTCTATTGGCCAAAGCAGTCCCAGGCCCGCCCAGATTCAAGGGGTGCAGAGACTCGGGAAGTCCGAGGAGGAATTAGCCAATGTGCCTGGCATCCGGTGCAGAGCTGAATAATTCCACTTTAGCCATGTTGGCTCTAAGATGAGAGAAGAGAGGGAAGGAAACACCTGTAACCTCTAGCAGGCCCTCTGAAAGATGGGCGTGGAGCTCCAGGAACAGTTGGGGCTCTTTAAGCTTCAGTTTCCCTAGGGGATAACAGTACCCACCCCGCATGGCTGTTGCAAGGATTCCATGGGAGAGTTCATTCACTCAACTATTTATTGAGTGCCTACTGTGTGCCAGGCTCTGTTCTAGGCACGGGGAATGCAGCAGCCAGCACATCTAAGGCTCTGCCCTCATGGAGCTTGTATTGAGGTAAAGAATACAGAAAATGAGCACATAACATTTAACATAACGTCAGGTAGCGATGAGTGCGAGGAAGAAATGGAAAGCAGAGCGAGGAGGGAGACTCGGATTAAGAAATCGGGATGGGCCTTTCTGGGAAGGCGACCTTGGGGCAGAGACTGAATGAAGCAAGGGTGTGAGCCATGTGGGTTTCTGGGGAGGAGCACTGCAGGCCCAGGGGACAGCGAGTGTGTGACGTGCTCAGCCCAACACCTGGTGCCCAGGGACAATGATGGTGGTGAGAAGCCTTCATCCATTTAGCCTGAGGAGGAGGGAGCAGACCTTAGGGTTGGGAAGCCTTTGCTGGGGAGGAAGGGGATGAACACAGACATAATGGAAGGGCCAGGCTGAGTCTTGAGGGTGGCCAGGGAGGGCAGATGGACTGGATCAGAGTCCACGAGGGCGAGGAGGGCAGCCAATGTCTACGGAAGAGCATCCCTAGTGCACAGGGTCGGGAGGAAGGTGGCAAGTGGGAGGCCATAGCACCTGGGGGAGCAGGACTGGTTCCCAAGGAGCCGGAGAGTAAGCAGCAGGCACGGCAGGTGAAGGAGGTCAAATGGGGTCCCTCTTCAAGGGTCCCCCAACTTCTCAGTCTGAAAGGGTCCTTCTCGCCATTTCCCAGGAAGAACCAGCTTCCACCCCCCAACCCCCGCTGCTTGCCCACAGCCCCACGGCGAGAGCCGCCCTGTGCCATTCCCAGCCCCAGCTCTATTTCCCCAGCCAGGAATATTCCGCTGATGCGGGTCTATATTTAGCAGCTGCTGCGAGGTACAGTCTGTTCTCGCTGTGCAGATAGCAGGGAGCAGAGCCGGAACGGGCCTGCGAGGAAGGTGTGAGCGAAGGGAGGAGGCGGGGCAGCGCCAGGCCCCGTGCCTGAGGAGGAATTAACTTGTGTGTTTTAAAGGCCAGGCCTGCCAGCAAACCCCCCACAGGGGTGACAGGGATGGCATTTGCAGGCTAATGAGGCGTCACACGGGCTCCAGGGCCCCTCTGCAGCATTTGGAGGGGACAGCGGGGGTGGTGAGGACAAGAGCCGGAGCCGGGACGCTGGGTGAAGACAGGGCTGTGGGAGCCGAGGCCAGGTTATAATTACCAGCCCCCGCCCACCACCGCCCCCGCGGGAACAGAAAGACTCTGAGACTCCAGCATCTCTGCTGAAAATCCTCTGCTGTGCCGGAGACGTCCGTTTCACCGGGAGGGAATGAAACTAACATTTGTGGAGCACCTCGACGTGGCAGATCCTGAGGTCAGGATAATGAACTAGACCTGGTTTCTGCCCTCGCGGAGCTTTGGCTCCAACAGAGAAGCCCAAAGCACAGAGACAGCCACACCTGGGCTGAGGGGTGGCGGAGGGGCCGGGGAAGTCGGTCAGTCAAAATGCTGTCTGAGCACCTGCTGTGTGCCAAGCCCTGTAGACACCACCATGAGCAAAGCCAGCATGGATCCCCGCCCCTGTGGAACTTATCTATGGGGTCCCCAACCCAGGACTTGAAAACCATCAGCGAGGCATCTCCAAAGTGTGAGGCCTGCTGCTGGAAGCTTTGTCTCATTTAACCCTCTCAGCAGCCCTGCTGGGCAGGAATCTCCATTTTACAGAACAGGAGACAGAGGCTCAGAGCGACTCCGGAACTTGCCCAAGGTCAGATGATAGCCTGTGCAGGGTGGGAAGACTGGAACCCATGCCTGTCTGACTCCCGGGCCCCTCCTTTTCACACTGCCTGTCATCTGGTGCTATGTAGCCCTGGCACAGCAGGCCTGCAGTGAGAGTCTCATGAATGACTGAGTGGACGGATGGACGTGCAGAGGCAGAAGGTTTCAAGAACAACTTCATGGACTGACTTGGGATTTTTGTACCTAGATCCCCCCAGGAGTGCAACGGCCTCCATGGTGCTTCTCCCAGTACAGGGAGGGGGAATCCCTGGGGGCTGGAACCTCGTAGCTAGGGAAATATGCCATCAGTTCCTCCCAGCCCTGTGCACAGCTCTTAGGAATGTGACTTTGCCACTGCTGCCACTGAGGGGTGGAGTCTCTGCACCCCTTGAATCTGGGCGGGTCTGGGACTGCTTTGGCCAATAGAATGCAGCAGAATGGATGTTATGCAAATTAACAGATTAGGCCTTAAGGGACCTTTCGGCTTTCACTTTTGCTCTCCCGGAACACAGTCCTGAGATTGCCATGTGAGGATGCCAGTCTACTGGAGGATGAGAGAACCAACCTGTCCCAGCCAAGCCAGGACCAACGGCCAGGCATATGAATGAGCCATCTCGGACCTTCCACCAGCTGCTCCTCCAGTGAGACGCAGCTGTGTGAGTGGCCCAGACAGAACCAGCAGGGGAACAGCCCAGACAACCAGACTTCTCTATCAGTTTTCTGCAGCTATGGAACAAACTGCCCCAAAACTTTGTGGCTTACAACACCAATGGATTATTTGTCACACTTTCGTGGGCTGGCTGGGCAGTTCTTTTGCTGGGGTCACTCATGTGGCAATGGTCAGCTGTCGGTTGCCAGGGGCTGACTCAGCTGGGACAGCTGACATGACGGGGGCTCTCTCTGAGTGGCCTTTCATCCCGGGCTTCTTCCCAGCACGGTGGTCTGAGGATTCCAAGAGGACGGGCCTATGCACACAAGGGTTTATTAAACCTCTGCTTTTGTCATGCTTGCTGATGTCCCATTGGCCAGAGCAAGTCACATGGCCAAGGCCAGGGTCAGGGTGGGAGGGGACAACCCGAGAGTGTGGATACCGGAAGGTGTGGTTCATTGGGCACTATCACCATAGCAACCTATCTGCAGCGTGCGACCCTGGGAACAGAGTCCAGGGGCAGCAGGGCCTCTGAGTATCCACTTCATACACACCCAGAGATGGCATTTGAATTGCACGTTCTAACATGGCTTCATGGCCAGTTTCCAAGAGAGAAGAGTTTAGTGTCACCAGTTTCTCTGGAGCTGGAAGTGACAGGGACAGCAAGGAGGGCAGCCACGTGGGGCCTCTCTCCTCACCCACAGTGGCAGAGCCAGACTCCTGCTCCCAGCCCCACTCATAGCTGCAACGCTGAGCCTTTGGTGCCCAAGCCCATAGATGCACAGTGGCCCCAAATCCTACCATGAAACCTCGACCTTCAGTGGACAGTGACAAGCACAGCAAGTGCTCGGCCAAGGTCAGCTCCCTTCCCTGCCTTTCTGCCAGGGACCCCGGCTCCATGGCCTGGTGGCCACTGCACTGTTGGTCAATCTGTCTGTCATCTTCTTTCCCCACATCTCTTCACCCCTTCCTGTCTCTTCCTGTCTATGGTCTGTGTGTCTGTCCGTGCTCTCTGTCGTTCTTTGCCCTTTTTTCTTCCCTCCTTCCTTTCTCCTTCTCTTTGTTTCTCTCTGTCTCTCTCTCTTACTGTCTCTTCCTGGGCATCTTGGCTTTCTCTCTGGCCTTACCTCCCCCTCTCGCCTTCTCCCTTTCATCCCTTCAGGTCTCCCTACCGCTCCGTCCCCCTCACCCCTCCTCCTCTATCTCCCTTTCTTCTCTTCCTCTCTGGCTCTGTCTCTTTCCCCAGAACTCCTTTGCTTCTCTCTCTCCCCTTCCCTCTCTACCACCTTCTCCTCTTCCTCTCCTTTCTCTCCCCCTTCTGCTCTTTCCCTCCTTCCATGCCCCAGGGTGGAGGAGAGACAGACCCCACCTTCCCAGCACAGCGCCCACCATCCTGAGCTGTAGACACTCGGCCAGTGGGCAGCTGACACCTGGGGGTGCCCCCTTTCACAGCCTCGGTGTTTCCGGGAAGCACCTAGGGGATGGGCCGAGGGGCTTGCCGCACCATGAAAACATGGCTTGCCTGGTCAGGACTGAGAAGAACAGGAGGATATTCCAGGGGCTAAGCAGGACCACCCCCTTGGACCTGGGGTGGCTGGGGCAGGGGAGATGGGGTGGACTGGGAAGGGACTTCCGTCCTTATGGCAGTCTAGCAGAGCAGCTGAGAATATGGACTCGGGTGCCAGAACGCCTGCGTGAATCCCGACTGCGCACTTTATACACGTGTGACCTTGAGCAAGGTACTTAGCCTCTCTGTGCCTCTGTCTCCTCATCTATAAAATGGGCATAATTACGGCACCTTCCTCTGGATGTTGAGAGGATTAAAGGAGGCAACTCACAAAGTCAATGCATATAAATGTTAGTTATTCTTATTTTCACATAATTCTCATGAGATGAAATCCTACACTAGTTGTTTTCAGTGGCTCTCGGCTGATTTTGCCCCAGGGTCCAAGTGACAATGGCTGGAGACACTTTTGGAATTGAGGCGGAGGGTTGCTGCAACTGGCATCTAGTGGGTCAAGGCCAAGGATGGCACTAAATGTTCTACAATATACAGGACCCACATACACACACACACACACACACACACACACACACACTCTACAAAGACTTTCCTGCCCAAAATATCAACAGTGCCAAGTTTGAGAAATTCTGTTCTTTAGGTAGGTATAATGGTTGTCTCCCATTTTTCAGATAAGGAAACTGAGGTTCAGAGAGGTGAAAGGATTTGCTCAAAATCACATGGCAAAAAAAAAAAAAGGCAGATCTGAGATTTATCCCAAGGCAGTCTGCTCCCAAGACTCCCCTGTTCCTGGGAAGACCAGCTATGGCAGAGGAGGAGTTGGGGGGCCTATTTAGGAATCTTGAGGGCCACCAATAGAGGGCCTGTGTGACCCTTGATTAGACAGAATACCCATTCCATACCTCCATGTGATCCCACACAAGCAGGACCACCCCCTAGGTGCCCCTCCTCTGGCTACCCCAGCCTCACACAGAAATACACACACAGGCGCACATACACGCACACGCTACAGCCTCTCCTCCCATTCCACTGTCTTTACTGGAGGCTGAGGACTGCGTGGGGACATCAGGTGATGGAGCTTGGGTTTTATGGGGCACATCACGGGCCTGCTGGTGCATGACTCCACCTGGCGCACAGGCCCTGGGCACCACCTGTCACCACCTGGTGCTCGGCAGGTTGGAATGGGTGGCGGGAGAGGCTCTGAATGCCTCATCAACTCCCCCTCCCAGACCTAGTCTCTTCTGCTGGCTGGGGGACAAGAAGCCCAGTCTTCCCCTCAGCAGAATTAACCTTGCAGTCACCCCCTCCCCACGTCCATCAACAGCTCGGAGGATTGTCTGTTCAGCAATTAACTGGTGCATGGACAGAGGACCCAGGAGGGGGAGGGACGGAGGCCCCCAGGGCTGGGGGAGAATTTAGTTGTGGGGGCAGGGTGTGGATAAGAGGGTGTGGATAAGAGGGTGTGAAAGCAGCTATGAGTGTGCGCTGTGTGTGTTCCTATGTGCATGGCCCACAGGCGTGTGTATAGGCGAGCATGCACCATAGTGAGCGTGCGTGAGTGTGGGTGTGAGTCCAGTCCACGGCTAGACACCCGCCACCTGCGGCTCTGCGCCCGGCTCTGGGCTCAGTGTTGCTCCCAGAGATGAAGCAGGCACAGGCCTGGCTCATGCGGAGAATGTCAGGTGGGGAAACTGAGGCCCCAAAAGTGGGACTAGTTGCCCAGGGGCGGGGTGGGGATCACACAGTGGGGTTCTAGTCTGCTGTGGGCCTTTTTTTTTGTTTTTTAGCAAACTACGTCCATTCTGCTGCTTTTATGTTGTCTCCGTGCGTGAGAGAGCGTGTTTGAGGTGTATGTGAGTGTGCATGAGAGTGTACGGGGCGGGGAACCTGCGGCCTCAAGGCCTCCAGATCCCCCAGCGCGGCCCCTCGACCGCGCCCCAGGACCCAGAGGCTCACGAGGACGCTCCCTCTCGCGCGCAGACACAGCGCGAGAGCAACACAGCTGTGGGTGTTCATTAGCATGTCTGCGTGTAAATGGGTGTGAGTGTGTGTGTGTGTAACAGTTGTGCACGTGGACGTGGAAATATGTAAGAGTATGTGTGTGTGTGTGTATGTGAGAGTATATCAGTGTGTTTGTGAACATGTTCGTGTGTATGTGAGTTATTTGTGCAAGTATATCCGTATGCGCATGCGAGTGTGTGGGTGTATTCGTATGGGTGCGTGAGTGTGTGTGTGAGTGTGTATCCTTAGGAGCCTGTGTGAGTCTTTCTCTGTGAGCGTGTCAATGTGTCTCCCGCGCCACCCGCTCTCCCTCCTCCTGAACTTGAACTAACCCGGAGCTCACCAGGGCCAGGTCGTGCCTCAGCCAATGCAGCGATCCCCACGTCAGCGGGCGCTGGTGGTGGTGTCCCTGTCCTCACCCTCACTCACCCGCAGGCGTGATCCGGACGGCTGTGCCTGACCTCGACCGTGAGAGCCAGGAGCGCTACGAGGTGGTGATCCAGGCCACAGACATGGCGGGTCAGCTGGGTGGCCTCTCGGGCTCCACTACCGTCACCATCGTGGTCACCGACGTCAACGACAACCCGCCTCGCTTCCCACAGAGTGAGTGAGGCCTTCTCAAAGGTGCATCTGTGTCTGTCTTAGCCCATCCGAGCCAGCCACTCAGCCCAGCTTCCTTTGAGACTTCCTGCCAAAAGGGGTCCCCCACCTGTGTGTCTGTCAGTCCACCCAAGTCACGCACTGGCCCCCAGCCCGCTCCAATCCCACTTCCTGCAGAGGAAGGCTCCAGCGATGTCTGGTTTTCCACACATCCAAGGAATGCCGTTGCCTTCCCAGCCCTCCTCTAGCTTCCCGCAGCGGCGGGGGCCCCACCTGTGCACCCTGCTGTCCACCCCCCCAGCCCCATGGCCCGTGCCCACAGCCCTGGCAGCTTATTGCACAGCCACGTGCTGCTGAGCCGGGCTTGCAAAGGGAAGGTGTTGGGAGGGGCACACAGGGACGGAGGCAGCCGCAGCTGCCACACCAGGCAGAGGGATGCCCGCGGTCGTGCGTGGAAAGTCTGGGTCTCAGTGACAGTTATCTCCCTCCTGCTCTGAGCCTGGACAGCAGGAGCCTGTGCTTCTGAAACGGGAGGCCTCTCTCTGGCCCGGTCCCCCGCCTCTCTGTCAGCCCAGCCAGCCCCTCTGTCCCGGGCTCAGGCCGAGAGCCGAGACAGGGAAGCCACCAAAGCTGGCAGAGACTAAATGCCGCGGGGAGCTGGGCTGATTCCTATCGGGCCAGTCATTACTTGAGGTCTGCTGCTCTCACATTAGGCCCCGCCACAGGGGACTGACCCCCGTGAGATAAGGGAATCCAATCCCTTAGCTGAGAGCGCAGCATCATCTCGGCCTAGAGCCTCAGCCCAGACACAGAGCGGGGTGGCCCGAGCCCGCCAGCCGGCTCCCCGTCACCAGGGAGCCTGGCACAGCAGCCAGCCCCCTGCCCACTCTCTCGGCCCCGCCCCCCACGGGAGGGGACGCTGCAAAGCATCCTGCAGAGCGGGGACCCACGCAGTCTTCTGCCCGGCGTGCCAGCCTCCGTGCTAGCTCTGAGCCGAAAGGGGTGGGCAGAGCAGAGACGAGGCCAGGGCCCCAGGAAGGCTGGCTTTCCTTTCCTTCCTTTCTCTTTCTTCCTTTCTTTCTTTCACGTTTCTTTATTATGAAACGTGAACAGCACACAAACAGAAGGGCATAAAATATGAATGCCCAGTTCACCAAATAACTATAAAGCAAACATTCTTGTGACCCCAAGACCCAGAAGCCCAACATGTCCCTCCCTGATCATAACATCTCAACCCCCTCCTCCAGGATGAACTGCCACCTGCCGTGTGACCACCACCTCCCCGCTTTTCTTTAGCATCTGTCCCCCTGCGTGTGCGTCACCAAACATTCTAAATTCACCCATTTCGAACCTTATATAAATGGGCTCGCACAATACAAATTGGTTTTTGTCTTGCTGTTGTCTCTCGAAGTTATGTTTAGGAAATCGTGCTGTTGCTTCTAGCCATGGGTATTCATTTCCATTGCTGCATAGTATTCCGTAACTTATCTATGCTGCCGCTGATGGACATTCGGGTTGCTTCCAGTTCGGGGCTATTGTGAAGGACACTGTTTAGAACCTCGTTGCACGCTCATTCCCGAGTGTATGTACAGACAAGGAGACTTGCTGGGTCATGACACGCTCATCTTCAACTTGGCGAAGTAAAGCCAGACTGTTCTGCACCAGGAAATGCATGTGTCCGTTACATCACACCCTCGCCGACACTTGGCATTGTCAGACTCTTTGCTTTGCTTTGTGTTCACTTGGGCAGTGTCTGCTGGTCACCGTTGCTGGTGTTCATTCACACACTCACTCGTCCCCCACACGTTTCATTTATGCGACAGCCTGGCCTTGTGCCAGGCCCTGGGGGGGGGGGCTGATGGATAAGAGATGAGGTCTCGCCTTCCAGGAGCTCATGCCCGAGAGGGAATGGACAGAAAATGAGAGTCAAATGCAGTCATCCCCACGATGGGATGAGTGTGGGGGCCACGGGGGTACAAGAGCAGAGCGTGGAGGTCTGGAAGGGTCCCTAGAGGAGGTGACATTCAGTGAGACGAGGAGGAAGAGTAGGAACAGGGGAGGCAAAGGCAGAGAGAATAGGGAGGGGGATTGCCTGGAGGGGAGGGAGAGCGAGTCGTAGTTACAGGATCATAAGAACCTCAGCCAGGGTGAAGCTGGAGTTGGGGTGGGGAGTGGAGGACGCGCCTGGAGAAGTCAGCCGGGGCAGGCAGCAAGCGTTTTGTAGGGCAGGCCGAGGAGCTTGCGCGGCTCCAGCCAAGGGCAGCAGGGAGCTATGGAAGAGGTTAAAGCAGGGGAGTGGTATGTTTGGCTTGTGTTTTTAAAAGTGCCCCCCTGGCTGCTGTATGAAAATGAATCAGGGGCAGCCACTCCACACAAGATTTCCAGACCTGTGGGGACCCCAAGAGACACATCCCCATAGCCCCCACTTCTCCTGGGCTGGCCCACCGCTTAGCAAGTCACCCTCACCTCAACCTCGGCTCTAGTTGGAAAGCAGGGTGCTGTTTGTGTCCCATCTGACCTCGTTCCTTCTGGTTTCCCCTCTGCTTCTCCCCTCCAGCCACGATGGCCATCTTGCCATTCTTCAACCATGCCAGGCATTGCACCCACCCCAGGGCCTTTGCACCTGTTGTCCCCTCTGTCTAGAATGCTCTTTCCCAAATATCTGCTTGGCTGGCTCCCTTCCCTCCCTCAGACTTTTGCAGAAATGTCCTCTTCTCGGGAGGCCTTTGTTGATCAGCCTACTTAAAACCGCAGGACACCCTCATTGGCGGTCCCATACCTTCCCTGCTTTATTTTCTCCTAAGTACTCATCATTATTGGACACACTGTATGCTTTACTGATGTGACTCTTTAGTGTCCTTCTCTTTCCATTAAGAAGAAAGCACCAGGAGAGCTGGGATTTGGGTGCATTTTATGTGTTGCTGTAACTCCAGTGTCTAGAACTGCATGATGTCTGGGACATCAGAGGTGCTCAAATATATATTGAAATGAAGGACTACAGGCCATTAACATCAACAGCCAAGTCAGTATGGAGCCCCACCATTTTAATACAATTTGTTCTGTTTGTTGACTAGCTACCATGTGCTAGGCACTACGTGCGTCATCATCTAAGTGAATTGTCACAACAGCACTGCTGTTAGGAAGGCACCGTTATTATTTCCATGCTACAGATGAGGAAACTGAGGCTCGGGGTTACATAGCTGGGACTGACTCCAGAGCCTTAGCCTTTAGCACTGTGCTCCTCTGTCTCCCTCACTGGGCAGATGGGGAAACTGAGGCCCGAAGAACTGCAGGCATTTTCCAGAGTCAATCGGTAAATAAACCCAAGGGTCAGAATTAGGACCCTTCCCTTTGCACTGTCACCCGAACTTCTGCAGACGACATGCCTCTCCCAGTCCCCATCCGGGCCAAGCTGGGAGCCCCTTGCAGACACTGCCGTCCCTAGGGGCTCATCTGGGCGCCCTTCTCCCCTCCCCCAGGGCTGGCAGAGGCTGGGGTAGGGGCTGCCTCCGCCCCGCTCATGGCCGTGTCCCCCGCAGAGATGTACCAGTTCAGCATCCAGGAGTCGGCCCCCATCGGCACGGCCGTGGGGCGAGTGAAGGCCGAGGACTCGGACGTGGGCGAGAACACGGACATGACTTACCACCTTAAGGAGGAAAGCGGCAGCGGTGGCGACGTGTTCAAGGTCACCACAGACGGCGACACTCAGGAGGCCATCATCGTAGTGCAGAAGGTGAGGCTGCTTCAGGAGGGAGGGGGCAGGCAGGCCCCAGGGGCGGCGGGATCAGGAGGGCCTCTGGGCAGTCAAATCCCCCCACCCCATATTACTCCAGGGATTAGGTCTCTCTAGAGACCCAGCACCAACCTGGAAAAACACCGGTGGTATCATTCCCATTTTACAAATGAGAAAATCAGGCACAGAGAGGTGAAGTGACTTGTCAAAAGTTGCACAGCTATTTGTCAGCGCCAGGATTCATTCCAGATTTGAATCCACGCTCTTAAACACTATGATGTGCGACTTCAAGTCCTTGCCAGGCCCTGCACACTCACCGTTTCCTTTAATCCTCACGTTTCCCTCTGAAGTTGAGGTCATTATCCCCATTTTTACAGGCGAGAAAATAGAGGCTCAGAGAGGTAAAGGGTTTGCCCAAGATCACACCTGGAAGGCACAGGGTAGGGACCGTGACCCCAGAACTCATTCCTTCCCGAGTCTAACCGGCTTCCCCGCCCACTGGCTGGCCAGGAGCCGACACTGCAAACTCAGCGCTCCCTAGGGGAAGGGGACAGAGGTCAAATGAAGAAGCAAAAATCCATCTTCCAGGATTTGGTCGCAGGCTTGGCAACCCAGGGCGGCGAAGGCTGTTAAGACTGTCCACTGCAACCCTGCTCTCCGTGGGAGGCCTAAATCCCCTGCACTGGCCCACAAGTGGTCCCAGGCCTTTGTATACCTACTGCGACGGGGTGCTCGCTCCATGCCACTGTCCAGCTCCTCTTCCTGTCATTCAGCCAGCATGTGTCTCCTCAAATCTGCTCCTATCAGCCTGAGCTCTGTCTTCTAGGACCCACAGACAAGTCCGCCCCCAACAGCCCTTCATGCTCTCAGCAAGCACATAATGACCTGCTCTTTGCGTGTCATTGAGGGTTTGAGGATGGAGAAAACTCCCAGTTCTTTCAGCTACTTCCCAGAGGATAATAATACAACAGCTAATACTTGTAATAAAGTGCTCACCGCGTGCCAGGAGCCCTTCAATTGCTTTCCATGTACTCACTCATCAATCTCTTCCTCGACTCTCCGAGGTACTATCTTTGTCCATTTTATAGACGAGAAACTGAGACCCTGAGAAGTTCAGTAACTTTCCCAAGGTCAGGCATCTAACAGAGCCCAGCAGGGATGCAGGCCCTGGGTGGTCTGGCTCCGGAATTCACCGTTTTAAGCAGTCTTGCTAGAGATGGAAAATCCTAAACTGGGGTTTTCAGTCTTTTGATCTCCCTTTGTCCCTACCGTTAGGTGAGCCCATTTCACAGATGGTGCATTGAAGGCCCAGAGAGGCCCAGCAGCACAGAGCAGCAGAATCAGGCCCCAGACCTGCCTCGGGACCCCAGCACAGCATTTGCTTTCATCCCCAGGGCTGCCCTGTCCCCCCCGCTCCCGGGCCCCCTCCCGCCTGCTCCAGCAGTGGCGCCTGAGGTGTCCCTGTGGAGCCAGCGACGGCTCAGGGAGCAGAGCCCCCGCCTGATTGATGACGTGGCTCCAGAGTCCATCGCTCACTCCCAGGCCAGGCCACCGCCTGCCTCCCTGCATCCTGATTTCCCAGGCAACAGGATGGGGGAAGGAGGAGGCTGTTTTTGCTGCCGAGGAAGGTGGGGGCGGGGGTTCTGGCAGGGGTGGAGGGACCCCATCCAACACGGCAGGCACCTGCCCCTGGGTCTCTAGGAAGCTCACCCTTGCCAAGCCAATCACTCCCCCACCACGCAACCGGGGTCCTTGCAGCCCCAGCGCTGCTATTTCTGTCTGCTGCAAGGCACTGTCTGTTGCAGCCCAGAGCCGGCACACAGCCGCGGAGCTCATTCATCAGAGGGTCACCCACCAGCGGCCCTGATGAGAAGCGCAGGCTCAGCGCGGATTTAGTGGGATCTCCGGGGAAAGCTCTAAGGCCGCCCGGCTTATCGGGCTCAACTCACATCAGTGCTGGTTCCCGTGTAGCAGGGAATCCTGGCTCTGCTGGCGACTCACTTGCTCCGTGACCTTGGGAAAGTTACTGAGCCTTTCTGGGCCTCGATTTCCTCATGTGTAAAATGTCATCATAATAATACAGGCCTTTTAGGGTTGTTGTAAAAATGAGTTAATATATTTAAAGCACTGGCACATAGTAAGCCACTGAAAGCTTTGCGTTTGTGAAATAAACTAATGAAATAATCCCAACATGCCACGCTGGGAGGCAGGAAGTTTGGCTGCCTGTCCCTAGGCACGCCTGTCCCCAAGGATCCTCGGTTTCTCCGAGTGTCACCCTCAAGCACTGGTCTGGGTCTCTGACAGCCAGTTCCCTGGTGCAGCCCAAGATCCCGGACGGCCCTGCTGAGTCAACGTGTGACCTTGGGCCAGCCCCGCCCCTCTGGGCCCCACTTGTAAGAACGTCGGCGACCACCGGACCCCAGCCCACTAACCAGCCCTCTGCTGCCTCCCCCAGCGCCTGGACTTCGAGTCCCAGCCCGTGCACACCGTGGTCCTGGAGGCCCTCAACAAGTTCGTGGACCCGCGCTTCGCCGACCTGGGCACTTTCCGCGACCAGGCGATCGTGCGCGTGGCCGTGACCGACGTGGACGAGCCCCCCGAGTTCCGGCCGCCCTCCGGCCTCCTGGAGGTGCAGGAGGACGCGCAGGTGGGCTCCCTGGTCGGCGTGGTGACGGCGCGGGACCCCGACGCCGCCAACCGGCCCGTCCGGTGAGACCCCCGCCCGGGGCCGACGCCTGCTGCCTGCTATCCCGCCACCGCCCCTGGACAGACTGCGGGCAGAGGGGAGGAGGGCTGGGGCGGGGAGGGAAGGAGGGGAGGACTGCGCGGGGGCAGAGGAGAGATGAGAGAGGTACCCAGGGGTGGAAGGAAATAGGCAGGGGAGCCGAAGAGCCAAGGAAGCGGATGTGCAAACAGTCAGAGAGAGACAAGGGAGTCGGGACAAGGAGGGAGAACCAGGTGACACCGACACGGCTCCGCGCTCCAGCCACACTGGCTCCCCCGTGCTCTCAGCCAGCCCATCGCTGTGCCAGGACTCCCCGGCTCTTCTCGCCAGCCCCACCTCCCCTTCTCATCATCTCCACCCGTATCTGCACCAGACATCTCAAACTTATGGTCAGAACGGAGCTCTTAATCCCTCCACCAAAATAAAAAAAAACCCAAAACACCAATTCATCTGGAGCCATCCCTGTCTCCAGAATGACAACTCCATCCTTCTAGTTGTTTAGGTCAAAAATGTTGGAGACCGGCCAGGAGCGGTGGCTCACACCTGTAATCCCAGCACTTGGAAAGGCCAAGGCAGGAGGATAGCTTGAGACCAGGAGTTTGAGACCAGCCTGGGCAAGATAGCAAGACCCCATCTCTACAAAGAATTTTTAAAAATTAGCTGGGCGTGGTGGCATGTGCCTGTAGTCCCAGCTACTCAGGAGGCTGAGCCAGAGCCAGGAGGGTCACTTGAGCCTGGGAGGTGGAGGTTGCAGTGAGCTGTGATTGTGCCACTGTATCCAATCTGGGTGACAGAGCAAGACCCTGTCTCTAAAAAAAAATGTTGGAGACATCCTCAACTCCTCTCTTTCTCTCACACATTCCTCCAATCCATCAGCAAATCCTATTGTCGCTATGTAAAAAATACATCCAGAATCTGACCACTTCTCACCACCTCCATTGCTACCCCCTGGGCCAGGCCACCGCGTCCTCTTGCCTGGATCATTGCAGCTGCCTCCTCACTGCTCTCCCCGATTCTGTCCTCACCCCTCCTTTATCTAGAATCGATGCAGGAGCCAGCCTGATCCTGCTCAAACATAAACCGGAGTCTGGCCCTGCTCTGCTCAATGCCCTCCAGAGGCACCTGTCGGGCTCAGAATAAAAGGTCAAGCCTTGACAATGACCTATGACCCTATGTGCTCCAGCCTCCTGGCATCCTCCCTGACCCCCTCTCCCGCTACTCTCCTTTCCCCAGTCCTCTCTGCGGCAGCCACGCTGGCCTCCTCATGGCCTTGCAAATACACCAAGCCCACCTCCACCCCAGGGCCCATGCCACAGCTGATCCCTCAGCCTAGAATGTTCTCGCCCCGTGGTTTGCCCTCTCATTTCCTCCAGCTCTTTGCTCAAAAGTCACCTTCTCAGTGAGGCCTTCCCTGACTTCTCTCCCGAAAATTTCAACCCCACCCAACCCCCCGTCCCTTTCCTCAATTCACTACTTCCTTGTTAGCCTTCAGCACTGTCTAACATGCTCCCTATGATCCTGGTTACTTTGTGTCTCCCACTGAAATCCACGAGGGTAGGGATTTGCATCTATTCATTCACCACTGTGTCCACGGGGCCAGCCCAGGGCTAAGCACTCGTGGACAATCACTGAATATGTAGTGAATGAATGAAATGTAAAAATAGAAGAAAGACTAAGAAAAACAGAGTCACAGAGATGCAGAGGGACCAACAGTGAGAGGAAGTGATTCAAGAGAGAGAAGAGCCAGTGGGAAGAGGACAAGAGTAACTAAGAGAGGCAGAGAGACCCACTTGGCAATGTGGAAACAGGGAGAGGAGACAGAGGCAGAGCAGGGATGGAGGCAGTGGGGTCCCGGAAGGTTTGGGAGCTGCGGGGGTCGGAGAGGCCCTGACCATGGCCTACATTGGACGAAGGGCAGACAGAAGAGGAGAGAAGAAAGGTGGTAGCAGAAACTGATCCAGAGGTGGTCAGGGGTAGGGAGAGTGGCCAGTGTTGGATGGATGGGGAACAGGCTTTGGGGCTCCCTACTACCTCCCTAAAACCCCTGTACATAGTCAATGAGTAATTCCTGAGCCAACTATGTGCCTAGCTCTATCCTGGGCTTTGAGGAGGGAGGGAGGGGAAGTTAATCTGAGGACCTCTGCATCATACAGTTCCGGAGGATAACATTCCCATCATCATCTGTTTGAATCACTCTCTTGGGGTTGTGCAGTGCACAGCCTGTGCAACTGTACATGGCAGCCTTAGGTGAGGAGACACACACAGATGCCGTCCTACTTAACTGCCCATGGGCTCTCAGACTGGGAGGTACCCCCCAGGGGTCTGGGAAGATTTCCTGGAGGAGGCAGGAATTGAACTGAGCTGGGTATCTGGGTTTAGTGAGGTATAAATATGAGAAGCGCATTCCAGGTGGAGGAACAGTTTGTACAGATGTATGGAGCAGAGGAGTGGTAGCTGTGCCTAGAGAAGAGCAGATTGTGATGGCTGTTGTGGGTTGGGGAAGATGAGGCACAAAAGTGAAGTCTACGGGCCCTCACAGGCAGGCCGAGGAGCTCAGACCGTCCAGAAGCTCAGAACGCCTGCACTGCTTCCGCCACTCTCACTGCCGAAGCCATCCTGCCACTGCCTCTGAACCGCCCCACCTCCCTTCCACCCTGGCTGGCAGCACAGTCTTAGATACCACCCCGCCTTGGCCTCTGGCCTGACCTGAGACCTCTCCAGGGAGGGCGTTGTCACCCCTGTTTGTCAGGAAGCTGGAGCCAGAGACGGGCAGAGGCTTCCGCAGGCTCTCCCAGGGAGTTAGGAACCGGGAGTGGAAGTCCCTGGGCTCCAGGTCAGTGCCCCGTCTGCCACTCCCTCCTTTCCAACACCACTCTCTACGCCCCTCGGTCTGTTCCCGCCCCTCTCCTTGGCTTCCCTTCCCTCCTGCTTTTATCTGCACAGAAAGGGCCAACTTTGAAACTGCTTCTCACCCGCTTTCATCTCTCTCTGCTGCCCCTTCCTGGGGCTCCTCAGATGTGGAGGCAGCGAGGAGCTTGACACAGGTCCAATTTAACACCACAGACATTTACCTGGCTCCTCCTCTGTGCCAGGCCCCGAGCCAGGCTGGGGACACAAAATGACTCAGCGAAGGACAGACTGGGGTGGGGCTCCCAGACTGTAGGGTAAGAACATGGCAATGGGAGGCCAGGGCAGGACTGTGGGGGACAGAGAAGGGTCCTCACAGGCCACACGTGCTGCCCAGAGCCCGGCTTGTTCCAAGGGCTCTGTCCCGGCAGCTCCCAGGTTCCGAGGGTCGTTAACTCAGGCATCAACTCTGCGTTGAGTCTGCCCGGCGCTGTTGCATGCAGGAGAGAAACAGGTGATGAGACAAGCTCCCTGCCCGCGTGGCGCTGCCTTCTCCTGCGAGCAGAGTCAGCAAATGGTTAAACATTTGCTGCTACAAGTCAACTGGCTAAATAGGATAACTGCTATTAGAGCAATGAGAAAAATAAGAGAGTAACAGGACAAGGAGGCATTGGAGCCACCGAGGGCCACTTTTTTTTTTAAGATAGGGTCTCACTATATTGTTGCCCAGGCTGGTCTCAAACTCCTGGCCTCCACTTTAAATTGAGTGGTCAGGGATGTGACAAATGAGCTGAGATCAGAATGACAGAGAGCCTTCCATGCAAAGCTGTGGGGAACAGCATTCCAGATAGAGGGAACAGCAAGTGCAACAGTCCTGGGGCAGGAACAAGCTTGCTGTGTCCCCGGAAATGAAGAAATGAAGTGGTACCCTGGGAGACTTTGCTTAGCACAGTTTGCAAAGCACAGTGGGCACCAGGGAGATACAGAAATGCAGACAGAACAGAGACATTTTTCTGAGCCTCTGTACTGGGGAGAGTGGAAGATGCCTCGTATTGCTACATTTGCCCCTCAGGAGGCATTATATTTGTATTACAGATGAAGAAACTGAGGGTCAGAGAGGGGAAGTGACTTGCCCAAGGCCACCCAGCTCAAAAGGGAAAGAACTGGGATTTGACCCATGGCTGACTGCTTCCTCAATCCTGCTTCCGAATCCTTTGTGGTTAGTGCAGTCCCTAAGCTTGTGCCATGCCCTGCCATGCAGAGGCCGCAGGGATGACGCATGGCCCACGGGTGAACGAATCCAGTGACAGACCCAGGTCTGAGTGGGCCGAGGAGCTCCAAGGAGGGGCAGGTACCGTGTGCACCAGGGAGGCGAGTGAGCACAGGTTTCCCCAAGTGGCCCCTGAGAGAGGTTGCGGAGTGTGAGGCCTGGAGGGGACAGCATGTGCCAGGTTGGAGTGATGGTGAAGGGCAGGAGCTGGGAACAGAATCACGGAGCCCGGGGGTGAAGTTCAGGAGCAGGGTGATCGGCTAGATGAGCTCACATCAGAGTGGAGGGAGACAGGGACAGAGGGGCACTTGGAGACAAGCTGTGAAGACCTTGAATGTCAAGTGAAGAAGTGGGACTTCTTCCCACAGGCAGTGCCCAGATGGGCCGACCTCTGGGCTGGGCAGCCTTGCCGACGCATGGGCCATTTATCAGACCAGCCATGTTCCCGCCAGCCCTAGCCCCACTGCGAGTCTCCTTTGAACATCAAAGACAGGAAAGTCCACCCTGGACTGGGGGAAGCGAGCACTTCCTTTCCGCCCAGCACCCCACGGTAGAGAGCAGCGGGACGGGCACGGCTTTGGAATCAGAGGAGCCTCAGGTTCCGATCCCAGCTCAGTGGCAGAATTTTGAGCAAGTCACTGCACCCTCTTCTGAGCCTCGGTTTCCCCATCTCGAAAATGGGCATCATGCTAGTACTTGCCTCATTCATATTCAGTGTCCACGATGTACCAAGTTCTGAGCTTGGTGCTCCCAGGGTTGGAGGGAGGGTTAAGTGCTTGGCGCATAGCAGGCCCTCAGGAAATGGTCATTGCCACTTTTCTTGGTGGTCTGTAGCCCATTCGTTCTGCAGCCAGTACTAACGGCACACAGTTTTCCAGACATTGAGTGTGGATTTGAGTATGGGCCTTCAAGGGGGTGGGGGAAAGGGTGACAGATAGGACAGATGAGCAGAGAGAAATCCCTCGGGTGGGGAGGGGGCAGCCGCTTTGTATTTGAAGGGCTCCCCCCGCACTAGTAGCTTGGGCCATCCAGCCTGCTGCATGTGTGCGCTCAGGAGCCCACACAGGAACTGCAGAAAGCCTGTACGCCCATGAGCCTGCGGCCCTTCCTGCGTGTGCTACATGTACACATATTTACGTAGAGAAAGCCACATGCGCACCTGGCCAGGAAGCAGTACCTACCCCATTCTCCACCCTAACCTTGACAGCAGCAGCAGCTGTCCCTAGCGCATGGGAATGCCAGCAGGTGTGGCTGGCCAGCTCCTTAGGAAGGTGACCTTAGACTGGCGCTGTGGACATTTGATGGGAACTTAGCTCTGCCACTAACCAGTCCTTTGTGACTCAGGACAAGGTAACGGCTTTTCTGAGCCTCAGTTTCCTCATCTGGAAAATGGGAGGATTTGAGGAGCTCATGCAGGTAAAGCCCTTACACAGGTCTGGCCCAAAGTCTTGCTCAACAATTAAAAATAAAAACTCATCTATATGTCACGTGGTAGGTGCCCAACATCATTGTAAGTGCTTTATTGGTAGTCACATGTCCAAACCTCACAACCAGCCTGTGAGGTGGGTATTATGATCTCCATTTTTTTTTTTTTTTTTTTGAGACAGAGTCTCACTCTGTTGCCCGGGCTAGAGTGCCGTGGCATCAGCGTAGCTCACAGCAACCTCAAACTCCTGGGCTCAAGCAATCCCCCTGCCTCAGCCTCCCGAGTAGCTGGGACTACAGGCATGTGCCACCAGGCCCGGCTAACTTTTTCTATATATTTTTAGTTGTCCAGCTAATTTCTTTCTATTTTTAGTAGAGATGGAGTCTTGCTCTTGCTCAGGCTGGTCTCGAACTCCTGAGCTCAAACAATCCGCCCACCTCAGCCTCCCAGAGTGCTAGGATTACAGGCGTGAGCCACCGCGCCTGGCCTATGATCTCCATTTTTAAGAAGAGGAAACTGAAGGACAGAGTGAGGAGGTGACTTGCCCGAGCTCACACAGCTGGGTTTCAAACCCAGGCAAATGGGCATCAGATCTGCACGTACCACCATACCTGTCTCTCACGCGCGCGCGCGCGCGCGCGCGCACACACACACACACACACACAAACGCTCACACACACACACACAGTAACACACACTCGTATTCTCTCCCTGTACTCCCACCCACACGCCTCTGGTTCCTCTTGCTGCCTCAGGTCCTGGCTAACTGAAGGAGAAGTAGAATTGCAAAATATAAGCAGAACCTTCTGGACCCACAGCTGCCTTCTGTCCTTCTCAGACCACTGGCAATGCTCCGATGCCCATGGGGGTGCGTCTGTACCCAGGCACGCAAGCCACACACTGGGCTGGGGGGACTCCTGAGTACTCCCTGCCAGACATTTCTGAATAATAATTAGGATAACAACAGTTCCCATTCATGGAGTAATTTTCCTGCAAGTCAGCTAGACACTTTACATGCATTTTGTCTTCCCAACAATTTACAAGGCAGGATTATCATCTCTATTTTGCTGAAATTTAAGGCCCAAAGATGGAAGTGACTTGCCCGGGGCAGTGGGAACCTGGATGCAGACCCGGGGCTGAGCGGCTGTCTCTTGAGCCTTTGCTCTTCACCTGCCGCGCGCTGTCTCACGCACACACATCACGCACACACACACGGCACAAGCACGCTTTCCACCCTCAGCACGGACCAGGCACACAACTCATGCGTGCGTCTACACGTGAGGTGCACAACTGCACCCCACACACATTTGCCAGGCCACGGTCCTTGCCACGCACCGCGTCCCCCCCACCCCACCCTCCCACTCAGTCTCTGGCTCCCTGAACTGGAACAAAAACACCGGGTTCAGCTCGCTGCATGGACCCACAGCCCAAGTCTTCAGCTGGGTAATGGCGGGTCCCCACTGCCCCGCCCCACGGCCTTGGGAACAGCTGCCTCCACTTAGATTCCGGCCCCTCCCTTCCCCTCTGGGAGGGAACAAAGGACAAAAACAGGGATGAGGAGGCGGAGGAAGGAGCGAGGAGAGAGATCTGAGCGTAGAGCGGAGGAGAAGCAACGAGAAGGCAGTTGGCGTCCTCCCACAAGCTCTGCCCCATGCCCAGCCTGACGGGGCTCAGAAGACCAGGCTGTGTCACATCTGTGTTTCTCTCCTGGACTCTGTCCTCCCACCTGCAGAATGGGAGGAGGTCTCCAACGTTCCTTCCAGCCCAGCCACACTCAAGAGTCTTTTTCTACCTCCTTTGGACCCAAGCATCTGACAGGGCAGGGCAGGGGGCACGGGGGACCTGAGGCTCCATGCATTGAGGCTTTGGATGGTTCAGTAAGCTAGAAAGAAGTCTGGGTACAGAATCCCAAATTTGGGTACCAATTCCAATTCTGCAACAGGGTTGCTGTACAACCTTTGGCAGGGTCATCGCTAGGCCATACGGCACCTTTGTGTAAATAAGAAAAAGGCCCCCTCTGAGAAGATACATGTGGGCGAGGACACATGGTTTGCCAAGCAGACCACTCGGGGGAATTCGCCCCTGCTTCCCTCTTCAGCTTGGTAACTTTGAGCACCGCGCAGTCTGCACAACTATACTTGGCAGCCCTAAGCTTGGCAAGTTTCCTCTCTGAGCCTCGGTGTCTTCATCTGCAAAATAGGGGGATGACATCAGCCTCACGGGATGCCTGGCAGGGACCTCGTCTGTATCACTTGCCACATTATCCCTAGGCCCTAGCACAGAGAAGGCTCTCAGTGAGTGTTTAGGGCATAAAGGCATGAAAGGAGGGGCAGCCGGGGGAAAGCAGTCGACACACTGTTGAGTGCACGCTATTAATAGGACGAGGAATTGTCATCTGGGGTCTGAACCTCCCCACATACTTTCAGCCAGGTCAGTGGGACCCAAGCTGGTCAGGGGCGAGAAGGATGTGGGCTTAGCAGCCCAGGGACAGGATGGAACATTAAACTGGGGACTCGGGAGACTGGCTTAATGCCCACTACACCCACATGCACAGCGCTTTACAGTGTGACACATGCCTTCACCTCCACAACAGCAGTAAATATGAAAAGAATAAGGGCTGTCACATAGGCCCAGCCCCTCCTCCAACCACCCCCCACAATGTGAGGTGAGTATGAATCACCCCCCTTTTCCAGATGAGCAGAGGCCAAGGAGGTTGAGTGACTCGTCCAAGGTCACACAGGTAGAATAAGTGGCAGAGGAGTCAAAGCCAGCTCTGACCACTCTCAGACTTGCAGTCCCACTGAGTGTCATTATCCCCATTTCGTAGATGGGGAAGCTGAGGCCCGGAGAGATTTGGCAGTGCAGCCAAGGCCCCACTGAAGGGTATCTCAGGGCTTTGGGCCCCAGCAGGTGATGTTTCTGGTGTCCTCGCCTCCCTGGGCCTCAGTTTACCACTCTTGGAGACGGGAGAAGGGCCCCTTTCCTCCTGCCTGTAGGCGGGACCAGGTGGCTCGGGCAGAGCCCCTCCCTACCGGGTTGCTTTGTCCTCGCTGCACAATGAGCCCTTGCTTGGCATTCGAGGCCTTTGTCGGCCTCGCAGCCTCGCCGCGCCCCCACCCGCCTTATCAGCGCCGGGAAGCGGCAGCCGCGCTGGCGGGGCCTCTCCGGGCCGCCGCCGCCCGAGACATGTGTTGGACACGGGCCTTTAAGGCCTGGAGCCGCCACACAAAGGCCGGGGAAGAAGGCGGAACAAAGGGCTTTTTCACGCAGCAACTGAAAAGCTGCAGATTAGCTCTGTTGCCCTGCGCAGCCGGGGAGGAGCCCGCGGCCCTGCCCCCAGACCCCTCCTCCCGGGGCGCTCGCTCAGCCCGTGCCCTGGTCGGGGCCTCCTCGCCATGGCCTCCAGAGAAGCCTCCTAAGGCCTCAGCTGGCCCCTCTCTCCTGCTCAGAATCCCCCATCGGCTCCCAGGACGCATCCGAGTCCTGAATTCCATGCCTGCCTCTCCTCCCGCACGGTCTAGCCGCCGCCGCACCATCAGCCACGCCCTGGACAAGTCCCAGCCGCCTGCCTTTGCACCTTCCGTTCCCCCTGCCCAGAATGCCATTCCAGTCCCCTTCTCAAGTTCAACTCCAGAGTCACGTCTTACGGAAAGACAAGAATCTACATTAGTGGCGCTAGCTCTGTGCCAGGCACTTTGCCCTCTTCCAGCCCTCACAGCAACCACGGGGAGCAAAGCGTTAGGTCCGTTGCCAGCTGAGGGAACGAAGGCTCAGAAAGGGCGAGGGCTGCGGGTGGGCACACAGCAGTCGCCCGTGCGAATGACGTGCAAGCTCAGATGCCTCCCGCTCCTCCTCTGTGGGAAGGGGTTTCTCTGTCCTGTGTGTCCCAGGCAGGCAGTCCCCCTCCTGGGTGGGGTGGGGACATGGGCACCGGCTCCACCTGGCCCTGGGGCACCTTCAATCAGCCCCGCCCTGCCCCCCCCCCGCAGGTATGCCATTGACCGCGAATCGGATTTGGACCAGATCTTCGATATCGATGAGGACACGGGCGCCATCGTGACTGGCAAGGGGCTGGACCGCGAGACGGCCGGCTGGCACAACATCACAGTGCTGGCCATGGAGGCGGGTGAGCTGGGCGCCCCCAATCCCTGCTGGCTCGGGGAAATGGGGGGAAGAGGAGCAAAGGCTGCGCTGTCAGTCAAAGCCCATGGGGGAGGGGCCAAAGGTTGGGGGCGGCGCAAAGAGTAAGAAACCGAGGAAGATCCGACAGGGGTGAAGGTGGGGGCAAAAGCTGACGGGCGAGAACAAAAGTCCAGGAGGGGTCCCAGGTCAAGGGCATAGGGCTGGTCTTGAGGCCGACTCTCTTCTTTCATCATTTATTGAGCACCTACTATCTGCCAAGCCCTGTTCTAGGGGAGAACTAGAGTATCAACAAGCTGAGAGACGGGGCGTACGTGATCTGTCAGAACTAAAAAGCAACAGGGAGAGGAGTAAGCAGGGAAGGGGGATTGGAAGGGAGGGGCCATTGTTTCTCTTAGGAAAAGCCTGCTCTGGGAGGAAGACATTCCAACAAAGACTTCAGTAAAGTGGGGGAGTCACACTGACATCTGGGGGAAGAGCATTCCAGGCAGAGGGAACAACCACTGCGAAGGCCCTGAGGTGGTAGTTTGTGAGCATGGAGGCCAGTGTGGTTGGTGACACACAGAGTGGTCCCGTGGTAGGGTCTTTGGACTTGACTCCAAATGACACTGGGGTCGCTGGAGGAATTTGAGCGGAGGAGGGGTTGGAGCCTGACAGGGTGCCTCTGGCTGCCACATTGAGAATAGACTGGGGGCTGGGGGGAAGCAGAGCTTAGCTAGAAGCTAAAGGCAATAATGCCAGGGAGATTGGACAGTGGCCTGGCCCAGGGCAGTGGCAACAGAGGTGAGAAGTGGTGGGCTTTGGGACACAGGCTGAAGATAGAGTTAATAGCCAATAGCCACCTGCCACTGGGCTGACATGCTGATGAAAGATGGAGAGGGGTCAAGGACGACTCCAAGGAGCTTAGCCTGAGTTTCTGGAAGAATCCGTGTGTGTGTGTGTGTGTGTGTGTGTGTGTGTGTGTGTGTGTGTCACAGGCAGTTTGGTGTAGCTGGGGTGGAGGTGAGGAGCTGAGACCCACGGAGCACGGGGAGAGGCGAGAGGGGAGTGCCCTCCAGTCCTCCTCCATAGCCCGGAGCAACACTGCCACCACCACTGCCACCACCAGCTCTCCCAGCTCCCCCACCTGTCAGCTCTCAAGGGCTGGGGGGTCAACGGAGCCCCCAGTAAGCAATCATGACAACACGATGACTGTTGAGTCTCTGAGCTGGGGAGGACAGGCAACATTTAAACTCGCCTCTGCCCCACGGTAGCCCCAGGCCACCCCTGCCAGCCCTCCTCCTCCTCCCCCTGCTGGCTGCCCTCACTTCCCAGGCCCCACTGGTCCATTCTGGGCTGAGGAAGTCCCTAGGCTGAAGTTCCCTTAGTCTCTTTCAACTACGGTTTAAAAGAAAATACAAAGCTGGCTCAAACCTCCGTGCCTGCTGTTCCCGAGCCTTTGAATCCACTCCTCCACCGCATGAAAGGAAGATAACAAAGGTGGCTGGAGAGGAAGTGGTGGCTGGACTAGGGGGGAAGAGAGCTCCCCCTCCGGCCGCCTCAGACCTGCTCTCTGGGTAGCAACTGAGGCTCCTGGCTGCAGATGAAGCCAGAGAGGACTGGCCTGGCTGCTGGGCGGAGATGTGGCCTCTCCCTACCCACAAATACATCCCCTCCCCAGCAGCCGGTCACTGCCTAACGTCCACCGCTCGCAACTCCCCTCTCAGGTTAAGCATTGTGCTTCTTTCTGCCCAGTGGGTCTCTTTCAGAAAGCAGCTAGAACAGCACACGAAGTCTGTAATGCCGCCATTTCACAGGAGAAAGAATGGGGCGGACACCTCTCCCCAAACATCTTACAATTTTTACCTAATACGTATTCTGCGCTAGATGCTTTCTAGAACATACTTTATTGAATCCTGACCGATAGCATGATCAGCACCCATTTTACTGATGGAGGCTCAGAGAGTTAGGACATTTGCCCAAGGACATGCAGTGGCAGAGCTGGGATTTGTGCCAGCTTGATCCCCACCATGGCATTGCTGCACGGCCTCCCTTTTCCTGACACTCTGCTCTCTGAGCTCTGCTCTGATTCCCCCCACCAACCCCCCGAGCGGACATGGGGAAGGAGACAAATCTCTGCAAGGAGCAGGCTGGCCACTGGGCTGGAGACCCCATCTCTGAGCTGCAACCCCCAACCCCTGCCCACTCTTCACCCACTCTTCAGGATATTCATCAACGGGAAGACGGTTCCACTTCACAGTGCTCGCGGGAGGATTAAACAGGATAACGCACGGGAAGCACTTAGCCTAGGGGATGGTACTTAATAAGTGCTCAATTAATGCTATCTGTTGGTCTTGACCCTGTGCCAGGCCCTGTGCAGTGGTGAGCTCATGGAATCTTCACCCCTCAGTGGTGTCGATTCTACTGTTATCTTCAATGTGTGGCTGAGGAAACTGAAAGTCAGGCAGGCGAAGTCGTTTGTCCAAATTCCCAACCCCAGCCTGCCTGACTCCAGAGCCCAGCCCTCCCTGCTGCCCCTCCAGTCACAGTTACTTGGTGTTGGCATCCAATCAGGAGCAGTCACAGATAACCCACCCACCCTACCTTCTCACCATCTCCATGAGATGAGGACAAAATTATTGTCCCATTTTACAGATGAGAAAACAGGCTCAGGGAGGCACAGTGATAGCCCCAAGATCACAGAGCACATCCACGCAGGGCCAGGCTTGACCCCAGGTCCCCCAGGAGCCAGCCCGAGCCCCAAGTGCAGTGCCAACAGGTCTGCCCGCCTGGCACCATGCCCTCCCTCTGAAGCATACATTTGGCTTCCTCAGAAACACAGGGGATGCTTAGGGGATCACAGTGGCCCCACCTGCTCCCGGGCATAAAAAACATGAGGTGACAAGAATCAGAGGGGAAATATTTATACACAGTGGCGCGGCTTTGTGAGCGCCTCGGAGAATGTTGCACTCAGCCGGGAGCCGCCGCCTGTCATGCTGGATTACCTCAAAGACTCCCAAGCCACTTAGTATGCCGGCTCCCCTCTCCCCGAACTTCTGACTCATCCATTCTGCCCAGGCAGACGCTCCTTCCACTGACATTATCTTTAACGTTTTGTAATCATGAAATATTAATGACCGATATTGAATTTAAAATACAATTTGTGTCTGGATACTTTGGTGGAAAGGGCAGTTGTAAAGGGACAGTCTTCGAAGAGTTGGGGTGGAGGGGACTTGGAAAGCCAGTGCCGGGGGTAGGGGGATGCCAGGGGGGTCCATGCAGCCACCTCCTCCAAGGTCGTCAAGCCCTAAGCTGATCTGGAGGGGTAATATCTAGCTGTGCCGGACAACAAAGGGTTAACCAGCTCTGCCAGAAGCTTCCCCATCTGGGTCACCCCGGGCCAAGTCACGTCTCACAGCACCCTGCATTTCCCTTCATACGGCAGAGCACGCGTCATGATTTATATGTGCATCCGTGTGAGTGTTCGGTGAATATTCCTCTTCCCCAGAACTACACCTTCCACGAGGGCAGGGTCTGGTCTGTGTCTGCTGCGCTCACCCAGGCCAGGCACACGGGTGGCGCGGGGCGATCTTTACTGAGTGGAAGGACAGAGGGGCTTGCTGCCCAGTGAGGAACGCGGGGTTGCGTGATGGAGATGCTCCTAGTTGCACGGCTCCCAGTTGTGTGGGCTTAGATGGGTCACCCCCGCTCTTGTTGCCTTGGTTTTCTCATCTGCAAAATGGTGACAACCGTGCCTACTTTATTGGGTGGTGTAAGGATAATAGCTATTAACCATAGCAGCTTCTATTTATTTAAAGCTTACCATAGGCCAGACATCATGCTAAATGCTTTATATAAAATATCAACCCCCCGGGGATTAGAAATAACATACATCAAGGGCCTAGCACGGTGCCTGACACACAGTAGGTGCTATTCATAGATAGAGGAAGAAGCTGAGAGGACAGGGAATATCAGAGACCATGGACCCTGTTTTGTAGCTGGGGAGACTGAGGCCAAGAAAGGGAACAACTTGTCCCAGTGCCTCCATGTGGCTTTCCGACCTCAGAAGGACGCTGGGGGAAGGAGGGGGGATGGGGAGTGAGGGGTCGCAGCGGGCTTTGGGCAGCAGAGCTCCAGTGTTTTCTGAGGGCCCCTTGTCACCCACCCCAGGCTGGGCTGGGTGCTGGGATTTGCTGATAAACAAGGCCTGGCCGCTGACCTGGGGGCTCACAGGTGGGCAGGGGAGAGACGTGTTAACAACAGTCAGTGACAAGACAGAGTGGAAGTAAGGGGTTGGTGGGGAGTCCCGAGGAGCAGAGAGAGACTTGCCCACACGGTGAGGGGCAGAAAACCCTTCCCAGAGGAGGGGACATCTGCTTGGGTCTCAAAGGCCGAGGAAGGCTTTCCAGGCAGGAAGGGGATTCAGGTGCCCCCTATGTGCGAAGGCCTGGACGCTGGGTGGTCCACTGCCCATTCTGAGGACAGAGAGACGGGATGTGGCCGGAGGCTGGGGCTGGGGCTGGAGGATGGCTGGAGCAGGTGAGGCGAGGTGAGGAGAGGTGAGAGTGAAGACCCTCCCTGGGCCTGTGCAAAAAGGGCCTTAGATGTCCTGTGAGGAGTTAGACATGTCCAGGAGGCGACAGGGAGCCAGCGCAGGTCTTTGAGCAGAAGAGTGGCCTGATCAGTCGTTTGGTCTCCATTGTTCCCTCGGGTTCCAGGGAGGGTGGGTTGGAAGGAGTGAACCTGGAGTGGGGGGAACAGATGGGCAGGGCCAGGACAGGTGGCAGCGCGCGCCAGGGTGGCCGAGCGTCTGGGGAAGAAGCATGTCACAGCTCTGCGTGGAAGGGGCTGCTTCGAAAGGCAGTGAACTCCCTGTCACCAGAGGTGTGTAAATCAGGCCTGGGCTCCTCTTGGACAGGATCCTGAGATCCTTCCCAGCCACCTTAAGTACCTAACAGATGCCGACAGGAATAAAGATTTTTTGACATCCACGGAGTCTCAGCAGGA